TTTGCCAGATGTTGCATCCTCAATAGACTAAAAGAAAAGAAACAGGGAAGGGAAGTATCTATAAACATAATTACAAATTTAAGGATATGTATTTACAATTCTATGCATTACTCTAGTAGGGTATGTATAATATGAAATAGTATAATAAAAAGTAGAGTGCTAAATAACATGGATACCTGATCACATTAAGATCAACTCTTCTTTGCTATTTTCAATAGTACTCAGAAGTTAACCATTTCTAGCACAATTGTAGCATTTAACTAACCTACCCCCAAATAGAGAGTCTAGCAAAGGGTATGAAAATCATAATGAATCAAGGGAGCAGAGACCTCTTCTGGCTATTTGTCATATTGACAAAAAATCATAGCAAAACAAAAACCTCAGTGGGATCTCTCTCACAGACTTAAGTAATCTAATTACCTCATAAATAATCCAAGTCCCCATTAGTTTCCAGGACTGCCTCATGTCAAGTGACTTGTATAGGAAAACTATTACCTCTTCATAAATTTGGCCCTCATATTACAGTATGAGTTTTCCTGATATTTATGCTTGATTTCATATGCTTCAATATCCTCCTTGTAACCTTGATTACATTCCCTAGACACTTTTATTTTTAAAATGAATAGGACTGATAGATTGATTCCTCATTAAAGTTCTTTAAAACAAGTTCCAGGCTTTGTTTTTTCAAAGAAATATTGAACATTCAACTGATCTACAGTCCAAAACAGAAGGTTCACATTTTAAAACTAATGCTGGATTATTATCATTCTAAAAAGAAGCAAACTTGCTTTACAATTCCAACACATTTTTATCTCTGAACTTTGATTATCAGAATCAGAATAGAGCTGGAAGGGACCTTGGAGGTCTTCTAGTCCACCCCCCCCCCCTGCTCAAGCAGGAGATCCTACCATTTCACACATATGGCTGTCCAGGCTCTTTAAAACCTCCAGCGATCTTTTTTTTTTTTCCCCTCCTTAATTCCAGGTTGCTTCTCTCCTTGATTAGTTTCCATCTGTTGTTTCTTGTTCTGCCCTCTGGTGCTTTGGAGAATAGTTTGATGCCTTCTTCTTTGTTGCAGCCCCTCAAATACTGGAATACTGCTATCATGTCACCCGTTTCTTCTTTTCTTTAGACTAGCCAAACCCAAGTCCTGCAGCCGTTCTTCGTATGTTTTAATCTCCAGGCCTTGGATCATTTTAGTTGCTCTTCTCCAAACTTTTTCCAAAGTCTGAACATCTTTTTTGTAGCATGGTGACCAAAATTGGTTGTAGTATTCCAGGTGTGGCCTTACTTTATAAAACAGTACTAACATTTCACATGATTTTGATTCTATGCCTGTTTATACAACCCAGGACTGTACAAGCTTTTTGACTACTGCCGCACACTACTGGCTTATAGTCAAGTGATCGTCGACTAGAACTCCAAGGTCCCTCTCACAGTTACTGTTTTTAAGCCAGGTTTCACCTACCTTTGGTTTTTCCAGCCTATGTGTAAAACCTTGCTTTTGTCCACATTAAATTTCATTTTGTTGGATAGGGCCCATTTTCCAAGTCTGTCAAGATCTTTTTGGATCCTGCGCTTGTCTTCTGCGGTGTTGGCTACTCCTACCCGTTTGGTGTCATCTACAAATTTGATGAGTTCCCCTTCAATTCCCTCATCTAAGTCATTTATGAAAATATTGAAGAGTACTGGGCCTAAGACGGAACACTGTGGTATCCCACTACTTACTTCCCTCCATGTAGATGCACTGCCATTAAGGACCACTCATTGAGTACGGTTTGTCAGCCAGTTACAAATCCATCTGGTGGTGATGTTGTCTATCCCACATTTTTCTAGCTTACCAAGAAGTACGTTGTGGTCTACTTTGTTGAATGCCTTGCTGAAGTCTAAGAATATTTTGCTGGTCTGCTAATTTAGTCACTTTGTCAAAGAATGCAGTAAGATTGGCTTGGCATGATCTATTTATAACACACCCATGGTGGCTTTTAATTATAACTTTGTTTCTAGATGTTCTCAGATCTGATTATCTTTTCCAGTGTACTGATGTTAGGCTGATTGGTCTATAGTTTCCTGGGTCTGTTTTCTCCCCCTTTTTTGAAGATAGGAACCACATGAGCTCTTTTCCAATCCTCTGGTAATTCCAGGATTTTTGAAAGATATGGTACAATGGTTTTGAGATAACATCTGCCAGTTCCTTCAAAACTCTGGGATGTAATCCATCAGGTCCCGGTGATTTATAATCGTCAATATCAGATAAGTGTTCTCTAACCATTTTTTTTTGTTTACTTAAGTTTTATTTCTAGTCTATGTTTTACAGTTATTTTTTTGGTAGGCTGAACTATATATATATATATATTTTTGAGTGAAGACTGATGCAAAGAATGAGTAAAGCAGTTCTGTTTTCTCTCTGCTGCCTATTAGCCAACTTTTCTCTTAAGTGGACCTACTGTTTCCTTGACTTTTTTCTTGTTATTTATATGCTGACAGAAATATTTTTTATTATCTTTGACTTTTTGTCACCTTTGTTCATTCTGAGCCTTTGCTTTCCTGACCTCATCTTTGCAGATTCAGGCTATGTGTCCCTCTTTTCATTTTTTGTACTTGTCCTTTTTGTCTTTCAGTTTATTAGAGAGATCTTTATGCAGTCATACTGGTTTCTTCTTGGATTTCTTGTTTTATTTTTTCAGTGGTATTGTGCTGGACTAAGCTTTTATGATCATATTTTTCAGAGTTCCCCAAGCTTCTTGAGTTGTTTTCCCCTTTAGGATTTTCATTCACAGAATTTTTCTTAGACTCTCTCTAAGTCTGTTAAAATCAGCGCTTTTGAAGTTTAAGACACTGGCTGGAATATGTTCTATTGCTTGTGATTGCATTATATTGAATTCCAATATGACATGGTCACTCTCGCCCAAAGCTCCGGCTAGTTCAACTCCCTCTATCACTTCTTCTCTATGAGTAAAAATTAGGTCCAGAATAGCTTTTCCTCTAGTTCCCTCCTCTACCTTTTGGGTAACAAAGTTGTCAGCTAGGTTGGTTAGGAATCTGTTTGATCTCCCACTTGCTGCAGAGTTTGTCTCCCAGTTGATATCAGGGTGGTTAAAGTCTCCCACTACTACTGTGGTATGTTTCCTACAAACATTTGTTAATTGTTTAGCAAAAAGTTCATCTATTTCTTCTGCTTAGTTTGGGTGGCTTGTAGCATATGCTTATAACAATGTTGTTTTCCCCCCCTTTTATATTGACCTATATGGATTCTAGCAGGTTTTCATCCTTGGTTTTGTGGATTTCTGTAGAGATGTAGTGATCTTTTATATATAATGCAGCTTCACCTCCTGTTTTGTCAGTTCCCTACTGAAGCTGTGTGGTGTTTTCATCAAACAGTGAAGCAGAATATTTTTAATGCACAGCCTGTTTTCAGCAGTTAATGAAAGGAAGCAGAATACCATCTGCCATTATTAATAATAAGCAACCCATTCATAAGTTCAAGTTACAACTTAATACAGTTTCAACTTAAAGACAGATTTAGGAACGCATCTCATTCTTAACCTGGGACTCCCTGCATGTTAAAATGCTGGCTGACTTCATTTTGTAATGCAGAATATGGGTGTCCATCACCTTGTTAAAAGCATCTGTGAAGTGTTATAAAGGGCATGTCATTTATTTATTTAATCCTTTATTCATTCATTTACTATGCTAACAAAGCCACAGTCTGTTTTACATAAAGTATAAATAAAGTATGTAAAATAATCTTCAGCATGACAAGATTCAAATTGTTTAATATGCAGACCAACATTTATTTAAGTGTCTATGCTATCATTCTTTCTCAGAGGAATCCATAGTTACTAAGTTATGGAGAATCAGTTTGGTGTAGTGGTTAAGGTGCTGGTCTAGAAACCAGGAGACTTTAAGTTCTATTCCTGCCTTAGGCATAAAAGTCAGCTGGGCAGCCTTGGACTAGTCAGTCTCTCTCAATCCAACCCACCTCACAGGTTTGTTGTGAAGGAAATATGAGGCAGGAATATTAGGTATGTTTGCCTGAGTTATTTTTTTTAAAAAGGATAAAAATATAATAATTTACAAGAGAGGAGCAGAGGGAAGCAATGTGACCAAGGTCTCAAAGTTTGAGTCCTAGTGACTTTATGAGCATATATCCATGTAGTTTTCTTGACAATAATATGGAAAAGAATTCCTATTGTTTTCTTTCCAGATGTTAGCTTCACATTTTCCAACTAATCTATAGCTCTGATATTTTTTAGAGATCTGTCATCTAAGCACTAACTGAATCCTCAATATGTTTTGCTCATACTTCAAACAGGTACGTCAGGTCCTACCACTATAATTCTAGATTCCTAAATACAAAAACAAAGAAACAAAGTCCCTTAAAAATCACCATCATTATTCAAGCTAAACAACAATCAAATTAAAAACAGTATTGACATAGAACAGAATATTATTTTGTAATGTTCTCTGACCTGGACAAATGGGGTAATTTGCATAGATATACCAAAGATAACATTAGAGAAGAAGATAACCTTTATTGCCATTTTTTTTTTTTTACTGTGGGCACAACGGCACACATCAAAAATGAAAGATCTATGTATGCTGCTTTCAATGCCTGGATGAAAGGCAGTGCATACATTTAATGAATACATGAAATAAACATATAAATACATTAATTGACAATCCTAACTTTAATGAAAGTGTGAAAATCATGCGGTAATCAAATGTTTTATTTATTCTAATTCATTTATCATTTCATATCATTCATTTCATTTTACAGACTATGTTTCTGTAATCTCAGTGTACCTATATTGCATAATTTACCAATAGGGAATGCTGTCCACCTCCTTTGAACAAACCACTAACATTTAGAAACGTGCAAAACATTTTAACATTTACCCCGTATAAAGTTATCCAACATATATGCACACATTTGACTCACAGCAAAACAACCATTTATATTATACCCATTTCTGCATATTAATGAATATCAATTCTACCTGTCTCTGCATCTCTTCAATCTGCCGCTGGGGTATGCTCTGTAGGATATTGTACAGCTCAGGCATCTTCTCCTCAGGTATCACCACTGAAGCTCTAAATATAGAAATAGGAAAAGAAAAAGAGGAAACACTTTGAAAAACTAAGCCAACCCAGGGTCATAATTAATGTCATAGAAATTAAGAATGGTCTAGATCAGGGGTCTCCAATCCCCAGTCCATGGACCGGTACCGGGCCACAGCACGCCAGCAACCGGTCTGCACAAACAAGCAAAGCCCCATCCGTGTGATGCAGGCAGCACACAAAACCACGCACTCTCCGGTCCATGGAAAAACCTTTCTCCATCGAACCGGTCCCTGGTGCCCAAAAGGTTGGGGACCTCTGGTCTAGATCCAAACATGTTCTCTTCTGAATGAAAGGGTTCCTTCCATTTACAGCAGTGTTTCTCAAGCCGGCAATTTTAAGATGGGTGAACTTCATTCCCAGAATTCCCTATGCCATCTTAAAGTTGCTTGAGAAACACTGATTTATTGGAGAATTCAGTAGGGCTGCAGCTGATACAACAAAAAGAGTCTTGAATTTCAACTTTAAAAAGTGCAGGGGTAGGGGAGAATTGGCAAAATCTTTCTTTCATTTATTGAAATGACTTGAATCAAATTCCTCCACAGAAGTGTTTGTACTGAATAGAGAGATTCCAATAGAAGATCCACGTAGTTAATTAACTAACAGAAATGGGAAAGTTACTTTTTATAGAGCTCAACTGATAAAAGCAGAGATCTGAAGGCCCACCCCAAAAAATGAAAAAAGGGAAAAAAGGATAAAAAAAGTTTTATCTAGAAAAACTAGAGATTTTTTTAATATAAAGATGACATATTTCCTAGTATGTATTTTTAAATAGTAGATAAAATTATTAAAATAAGAAAGAATTTTGCCTATGCTTGAAAATGCAATGTATTGATAACATCTGATAGAGAAACTTGCCTCAGTAAGGACAAAGCAGTTTTCAAAAATGCATAAATATAATAATCCTCATGGCGACAATACCTCAAATTTAGAAAAGGAGACTGATTTGACAATGTTTATTATGGTAAAGCACACATTCTGTCAGGGTTCCCTCAACATTAGAGTTTTTTATGGAGGTGCAATGTACTTTTATAATGGAACAGCTATTTCAGGGAGTTTATGTCTGAGCTAAAACATGCATATTTAATCTGAATATAGAACAGGATATAGAACAAAACTAGATTGTTTTGTTCTAGATACAAGCAGAGCCATGGTTATTCTGAGTAGTTTTTTGACAGGAGCAGGTAAAAGCCAAGGACATCAGTAGCAATAGCAGTTAAAGTGAGAAAAGAATGTGAGGTCACTGGGAAGAGGAGGAACACAGTGAAAACTGTTGAGAAGAGGTAATAAGGGAGGGGTTGCATGTACCCGCCATAAAATCATTATTATTATTTTATGGAATGAGCAGAGGCTGGCACATGTCATCCTTGTAAATTTCATATTGGCTGAAACCCATAATTTGGATTTTGTTTCTGCTGAAATATAGCAGTTCCAGAGTTTGGCAGAACTTCTGGTACAGAATGTATTTGTTTTGAATGTCAAAACATTTTCTATTTCATGCACAACCCTAGTGTTTTTTGTACCTGCTTAATATAACAAAGGAGAAAGTCTAGAATACAACATTTTCTCTGTTTGACTACAATGTTGATGAAAATTCGTTTTCGGTATCTGGATGGCATAACGGAGAAAACCAAAAATGTAACTTTCTTTCTTCTACTATAGTATTGATGATTTCTTCTGTTTAACATTACATTTTGTTTTTATGCATCTCTTAACCACAGAAAAATGAGCTTCCAGGAATTCCCTAGCATTTCTGGATTTAGCTTAGTCTAGGATGCTTAGTTTCCCAGCTGAAACTATGGTTGAGTCTGTCCACGTGTTGTGAGATTATGAAGCTTTCATCCTGTCTTCTGATTGCTAGTTGGTGTTCATGGATGCCTCTGCTAATCTTTTGCCTATCTGTCCTACAAAGGAGCTATTAGTCTTTATACTGTATGTTGTAGATGACTCCTGTTTTTTTCTTCTTGAGCTTCTTGATCTTTTGGTTTACTTAAAATCTTTTGGAGGATTTTAGTTGGTTTGTGCTATAGTGTTGTTCTTTAGTTGTAGTCTGTCAGCTGTTTCTGTGATTCTTTTTTAATGTATGGTAGTGCAACCCTTTTCATAGCTTGTGTTGGTTATGCTGTGGGTTGAGCAATCTGTGATCTAAATAAATCTCAACTTTATCAAAAAGTGCCTGACCGCTCAAATCACTACACTCAACCCACTACAGCTGACTATTCTTGTATATCTTGGAAATAAGGCTGGCTTGGTCACTCAACGAGACACTGGTGAAATGGGCACAGCAGCGCCTGCATTTTCTGTGTCACATGAGAAAAGTACATCTTCCCTCCCCTGTCCTTACCACCTTCTACAGAGGAATGATCGAGAGCATCCTGTCATACAGCATTACAGTCTGGTTTGGAAGCATCACTGCTTCAGACAGGAAGGCGGTGCAGAGAGTGGTGACGAGGGCAAAAAAGATTATTGGCAGTTTCCTCCCTTCCATCCAAGACATAGCATATAAGCAATGCTTGAGCAGGGTCCACAGATTGTCTTGGACACTACACAACCTCTTCACAACCTGTTTTCTTTGTTACCTTCTGGGAGGAGGCTTCATGGTATCCAAAGCAGAACATCCAGATTCAGTCACAGTTTTGTTCTATATACAGTATTAACCTTGTGAACTCTCAAGCTTCCTCTTTCCACTTTGTATTCAAGATGGACAGTGATTAATATCTATATGTATTTATATGTAAGGGTGTAGGTATATATACATATGTTGTATATAGCATGTTTATATGTGTGTTATATATGTGTACACCTTTGAGAGCAGGCAACAGAATTTCATTTTTAATGAAATGTGCGCCAATGTGCCCACAGTAAAAAATGGTTATCTATCTATCTATCTATCTATCTATCTATCTATCTATCTATCTATCTATCTATCTATCTATCTATCTATCTATCTATCTATCTATCCAAGACAAATGGATTCAATCCATATATTTTTTCAATATTTTTCTGAGCCATGCAGTCTCCAAACTAGCCACAGAGCAATAACAGAATGAACCTCTTCTAGTCCAGAATGTCAAGCAACAAAGAGAAAAATGTATGCATGTACCTCTTCCAGTCCAAAACCTCAGAGAAAGGAAGAACATAAGAATCCGCTATGACAACAGGGATGCAACCAGCCTGAAGCGCATCACTCAAAACAGCTTGTCCTAAACGTGCTCCCCGCAGAACAATACAGAATGTGGCCTCCTGTGGACAAAAAAAAAATCACAAAATAGTCATAATTGTTTTTCTATTATCTTATTAAATTAAAACTAATGCCCAGCTTATTCACCATCATGTTTTGGATTTCATGATTATATATATATCACATACAAACAGAGTTTTCCTTCATATTAATTATGATAAATGTTAATTACAACTTTGAAATACTAAACTAATACCCCAACAATCCTTTTCCAGAATTATTTCAGTCTCTTCAAGTGACGCCATTTGTCTCTCGACGCTCCTATCTCACCATAAAGATTAAAGAAGCCCCATACCTATGTGGCAAACGTGTACACCAGAGTTTCCTGCACTAAACATACTGTATTTAAAAAGGTTCATAAGATGCCTATAAATATGCATTTTTAAACACACAAATACTAGTGTCTGAGTCAGGGCTGCAATGTTGAAAACATAAGGAAGGCAGTTTGGTATAGAGATTAAGAATCAGGCTGTAAACCAGGAGACTGTGGTTTCTAATCTCACTCTGGGCATAAAGCCAGTCACCTCTCTCAGCCCTAGGAAGAACGCAATGGAAAATCCCAAGCAACCTCTGGGGTCAAAAACTAAGTTGAAGGTACAAAAACAAACACTCATTACTTTAATTACTCAGATCCAGACCTTTCATGGGAAAAAAAAGTTCTGCTCATGACTCATCCACATGACTCATGGAAGTTCAGGATCTGACTTAAAATAATTGAGTGTTGGTTTTTTTTGTAGTTGGGAGAAGTTGAGTAATCTTTCCTTTTCTCTCCAAATTCTGCTTTGGAAGATAGCTGGAATCCCTCAGAAGAATATCAAAAGTGGTGCAAAGACTAGGTTGGAAGGATCCTGTCAATTCCATTTTCTGCCAGACTCCTTAACTACTTCTGCTCTCCAATAAAACGTTTACACTCCTAGAAGGGTAACAGTGCACCAAACTCACCATATATATATAATCAGTGAAAGGTTATATAAGAAATCTTATGCTTCAGATATTTATCTACAGAGCCCATCATATTTTTTTAAAATAAACCATACTCTCTTGTAACCAACAAGAAATGATAGGAGCAAAATGCAGCATTACCTGAAGGACCTGAGGGTAATCAAAGATCAGGTTTTTATGGCAACGCTTTCGAATAAATGGAACTCCCTCTGAAAGGTTGGTACACTTGTCCAAGATTAACACAGATTCTGTATTCTCTGCTTGAAGAGCCTCCAATTCTGAACGGTATTCAGGATGAAGAGCAATTTGAGAGGAGAGGAGAAAATATCTGCGGAGACTGAAGAACACAACAGTTGGAACCATATATCTTTAGCAGTGTGTTCATTAGGTAAGCGGTCAGAATGCAGTATTGCAGGCTCATTCTGCCAACTGCCAGCAGTTCGAACATGACAGGCTCAAAGTTAACTCAGCCTTTCATCCTTCCAAGGTCAGTAAAATGAGGACCCAGATTGTTGGAGGAAATATGTTAACTCTGTAAACAGGGCTGTAAAGCACCATGAAGCAGTATATAAGTCTAAGTGCTATTGCTATTTCTATTATTATACAAACATAGTCTGAAATATTTGTTCTCCTTTGGTTTTTGGTCAACTAACAATATGATAGTTGGAAAAAAATTATGTATCAACCCAAATATAAGACATTATTAAACAACCTGAATAAGCAAAATGCAGTAGGCAGGGCAGTAAAAAATACATACATTTGACCTTCATGCTGAACACAATGTGAGCCACTAACATCAATGAATCATGAATAAGTATGGTGGACTGTAGGCAAACTATGTCATCCTCTGAATTTATTGGTGTCATTCTCAACTGATTCAATTAAAATTATTTTCAAGGATGCACTGAAACACAATCTATGGTTGCACCATTTTTTGAAAATTAGCTATATTCAAATAAATAGAACATTCTCCAATGAATACAGTAAAGATTGTATTTAGAAGTGGTTTTGAAAGCACTAACATAACATGCATCATATTAGCCCTGGCTTTTTACGCTTTCTCTTAAACTCTTTTATTATTTTTTCTTTTGGTTAAATACCATCTTGTAAATATTATATGGGCAACAGAAGATGGAAGTTATCTTCCTGGTTATAGCTGAACTACCCCAGTTATGTTCAGCAATATTTCCACTCCAAAAACTAAGAACTAACTTTTAATCAGGTAATTTTTTTAACAAAAAATGTAGGTGGCAAATGTGATTTATAAACATAATCCATTTAAAAATGTACCACCACCATTAAACTTGAATACATATCAATTGAAGGCTAGAGGGAGTTACTAATATTTAACCAATACCAGTAACAGAAAGTTACAAATACAGTAAAATTAAGCTTCAATTTTCAGATGGGAAACCATAGCTTTAGAAGCAACATAATTTAATTTGCAGAACATTGCCACATGATAATACTATCAGCAGTCACACGTTTGTCTTATAATGGGGTTTAGCTTGTTGCCAGCTTTGGAATCATACCATTCTAATGGTGTGCATTTTGATTCATCTGGAGAAACTAGCTCAGACTGAAATGGTTTATAAATTTCATAAACAAACCAACACATTAGTAGATATCTGCTTTATATTCTCAAAAGAAGACAGGTCAGCCTAGAAAAAATATCTATTCTTCCCTCTTGGCATATGAAACTGGTTTAATTTAAGCCAGATCAGTTTTCCATATAGCAATCATTTGTCTATGACAATGGGGCGAGATATCAAGTATTTTCTATTCTATTATCTTTTTTTAATAGTTGTCTATTACTTAAACTTACAACTTTATAAGTCACCTGCAGGCAAATATTTTTTATTGTACTGTTAAATGCCACTGCCTTGTTACTCAGACTCTTGTAAAATATATCAGTAAATTAGGTTCACAACTACTGGCACTTAAAGGTCACAATTTGTAATAAAAATAAAACTGAACTCATACATTTCCAGAACAAATAATAGTTAAAATATGAAGCAACAAACATGAGTGAAATATTGATAATGCTGAATAGTATTAACTAAAAGGCATATGATTGAAATCACTCCTTCAAAATAATCTATCAAATCTGCCCTGAATAAAAGATAACGCTCAGTTTCTAATAAAAAGCTGAACCACTCAGAGTTTGTAGCTACAAGTAGAAGGGAATCCAGATATTCTTGCTTTCAGTCTATTTTTCAGATTAAAAAATCCTACTGAACAACAATGAAATCTATACTGAATTTTTATACTTAAAGAAATAGAACTAAAAGCCAGCAATGTTCTTCATCTATAATACCTCACTCGCTATTTGTACATCTATAGATGTACATCTATAGATGTACATCTATAATACCTCACTCGCTATTATGCCTCTTTCACAGGGCTTCATCAAAGGTAGATAGCTGTAGAAGTTAGTACAATAGTGTGAAGAATAACTGGAATAGCCTCAATGGAATTAAACTCTGCAGGGCTCTATGAAAATGAAAATACTTTATGTAAAATGTAAAAACATTAAATTTACATCTTAACATTTCTAATGTAAACTATTCTGATTTTTTTTCTTTTTTGCTGTGGCACTTGCCCTTTGAATATCATCTTCCCAGAAAGTAGATGAGCCCTGACCCTGCTGGCTTGGGGACTTGGACGGGTGACAGTCGATGGATGGTTATGGTGATTTGTTGTTGGTTGTTCTGTTTTTACCTCAGCTGCTGATTATGTGTATGTTCTTATGTTTAACTGTTTAAGCTGCCGAGTCATGAATTTAAGATAGGTGGCCATGTAAATTGAAATAATAAATAGATAAAAAAAATAAACTAAGAGAGCCAGTTTGGTGCAGTGGTTAAGGCATCAGGTTACAAAATGGGAGACACTGACTTCTTATCTTGCCTTGGGCATGAATTCAGCTACATGAGCTTGGATTGGTCACTCTCTCAGTCCTAGAAGGAAGGCAAAAAACCTTGCCAAGAAAACTGACTCAAAGGCACAAACAAGTGAAGTGCAAGTAGATAAATATTTTTAAAAAAAATCAATTAAAACAGATTTTAAACATGAACTTAGAATGTATATTTTGATTGTTAAAACAATCAAAGTTTAAACGTTTCTTAAATGTTTTACAAGGTCAAAGTTATTATGAATACAGCTCAAAAATATAAATATATTTCATTTTACGGAATTCTATTTTGCTTTATATGAACGTGGAAGCTATTTGAAAGATATTTTAACCAATCTTCTGCGACATTTTATGAATTTTTATTCATAAAAATTATGAATGCAGCTCATAAATATGAATATAACATTTCACTTTACAGAATTCTATTCTGCTTTATAATATGAATGTGGAAGTTATTTAAAAGAAATTTTAATTAACTTTCTGTTAAATTTGTAAAGAAAAAGAAGATAAGAGATTTGGGATGATCAACAAGAGCATGGTCAAGATGAATAGTTTAGATATACAGTAAATGTAAGGGACAAGAGAGAGGAACTGAATGTGATATAACAATAAACATGAAGCATTCCTAACAGTTCTCATATTTGACAAGGAAATTTCTGGTGCTGAAGTATACCTTCTAAAGACTAAAACCTAATCATGCAAGCTGATCATAAAATAAATAAACAAAAGAAGGACTATTTATGATATCTTCTATTATGTACTAACCAAGGAAGATGCCAATGACATTTTTAAAAGAAAATGGCAAAAGTTTCAAATATATATAAAATAGCAATGAGGGGAACTTTGGGATATTAAGACAAATTCTCACATATTGTCCTTTCAATTCAATTTATTCTTCAAAAAAAACAGAAGAATGAGAAATGAGAAAATGAGCTCTCCTTGATACCAACCTATAGGAAAGATTTAGTCAATGAAGTGAAAATAACAAGAATATTAATGAAAAGTGATCACGTAATACTGGAGCTATTGATTTTAAAGGAAAGTAAAGCCAAGTATAGCCAAAAACATATAATTAACTTTTAAAAATAGATTTTAATAAACAATGGTAAGTAGGATTGGATGGAAGCAGGAGTTAAGATGTTTTCTTTTTGCCTATCAGGTTAAGATTTTTTTTTCTAGACATTTAATCTTGCAAAAATAAAAATAAAATAGAGCTAACAAGGAAAGTTCTTTAAAAAAAGATATTAAAAGTAGTTATAAATAATCCCACTGGAGGGAGAGAGAAAACACCAAAACAAATTGGCGAGGATGCTCCAATACTGTAACAAAGATCTGAAAACATACAAGAACATAGCCAGGAAATGGAAAGAGAAACAATTCTCCAAGGTAAAAAACACAGAGTTTGGAATTGAAAAGATAGTCAGAAATGTTAATACTCAGAATGACCTAAGACCCAAGATTCAAGACTTGGCAAAAGATTTTAAAAATAAAGGCTTCCTTGCTTATGTAAATTAACAGAATAACAGAGCTGGAAGTGATCCTGGAGTTCTTCTAGTCCTCTGCTCAAGCAGGAGACCCTATACCAGGGATGTCAAACTCGCAACGTCACGTGATGTGTCATGCGTATCACGACTTTTTTGCCATTGCCGGCAATGGGGTGGGCGCAGTTTTGCTATGATGCATCCGGCCTGCAGGCCGCCAGTTTGACACCCCTGCCCTATACCATTCCAGACAAGTGAGCTATCCAGTCTCTTCTTAAAAGCCTCTAGTGATGGAGCACCCACAATTTCTGTCAAAACAAAATGAAGTTAAAAGTATCTATGTTCTACTTACTCAATACAAAATGTTAATAGAAAAAAATCATTTACTCAATTACTCAACTCCTATTTGACTGTTTTCTCTGATAATAGGATGTATACAACAATTATGAGGAAAAAAAATTGAAGCATGAGATTGATAGAACCTGTTTCAAGAAATATATATTTATTTTGAATGAGCTTAAATCTCCAGAATCAACTGAATAGCCATAGGAATTTGTTGATGAACCAATCAAATGGTTATATATTATCCTGGACAATTCATGGAAAATGAATGAAGGGCAAATATTGTTCCCATTTTCAAAATATAGGAGGCTAGAGAATCCAGAGCTTGCACAGTCAATCATTCTGACATAATATTTAAGAAGTCTGGAATATATTGAATATTTCAGCTCTCCAGGTCTGAATGAATGGAGAAGTACCAATATTAAGAGAATTTAACCAAATTCTGATCTGACTGGCTGAATTTCTTAGCACTGTTAGCAAAAGCACAATTAACTGTACCATATTAGCTTACCCTTGTCCTTTATTTAGCAGTTGCACTTCTGCAGACAGGGGACTATAAACTGGAATACTGACATCATATCCTTGCCGATAGGTCCATGTAGAAAAACCACCTCCTGCCAACAAAGCTCTGAGGATGACAGAAAGAAAATACTAGATTCCCATGTGTGTTTTTTTCAAATGTTTATTCATTCAAAGGATTTAGATAACCAGAGAGGTAAGATAAAATTTAGAGCAGAAACATACTGATTGAAAGACAATAAGTGTACAACAAAAGACAATGTATCTAAAACTTAAACCAGAGATTCAGGTACCTGTGTAACAGAACATTTTCTATCTCTTTCAACTTCTATGAGTAGTAGTTAAATTAAAAGCTTTATATTAGTAGTTTAATACAGGTAGTGTTCAACATGTAACAGTTTGATGATGGTTCAAAGTTATGTCATTGAAAAAAGTCACTTCTGACAGGTTTTCACACTTACAACCACTGCAGCATCCCAATGGTCACATGCTCAATATTGAGACGCTTGGCGATTGGCTCATATTTATGACAACTATAGTGTCCTGGGGTCATGTGATCACCATTTGCAACCTTCTGATGAGCAAAATCAATGGAGAAGCCAGATTCACTTAACAGCCATGTTACTAATTTAAACAACTGTAGTGATTCACATAGCAGCGGTGGCAAGAAAGGTCGTAAAATGGGGCAAAACCCATTTAACAATTGTCTCGCTTAACAACGGAAATTTTGGGCTCAATTGTAAGTCGAGGACTACCTGTAAATGAGCATGAAAAGACAGCAAACTTCCAATTTGCAAATATTTTAATTGTCCTTTTCAAGAAAGAAAATAAACTGACTTCTTGCAACATCAAATTCCATCCTGCACTAGATATATCCAGAATCGAAATGTATGCTAGATAAATGGACAAGAATTTAATAAATAGAGATTTTTTTAGTAATTGCATTATTTTTCATTATCCATTGTTTTTACATTATTTTTTCTATTACGAAAAAGATTTAGTAAATGGACTAATATTCACATGAATAGTGCCTAAGAAATTGAACCAGAAGTGGATTTCACTTTCTTTGTCTTAAATTCAGAATACTAAACACAGAATGGTAAATAAAGAGTCCCCCAAAATTGATATGAAATCTGGCTGCGTTATCACTATATTTTCTTAATAAGATAACTTATGTCAGGAAAGAAAAGGAGAATGAATCTACTAATTCCTTTTGATATTTCAGCAGCTTTCAATTTAAAATATTATAAAATAATAAGGCGGGATACAAACAAACAAATAAAAATATTAATGGTTCCAGGATATTTCTGAGTACATGCTAAAATGCAATACTCTCTTTCCTACATATTTGGACAGTTCCAGAAAAGGCTGCTTTGAAATGATCATTTCTCCCCAGCATGCTACAGGCTGCCATATGTTTCAGACATCAACGTTCCCATTCAACTTAGGGAGGGTGGACTAATATGCGTTCATTTCTTCCCTCTAGATCAGTATTTCCCAACTTCAGCAATTTTAAGATGTGCGAACTTCAACTGTCAGAATTCTCCGCCAACATCCTCTGGATAGTTCAAGCAATGTACACACTGAACCAGTACAAGGGCAGGGTTACAGAAACAAGGTGAAAGATTTATATGATCTGAAGACAAACCAGAGTATTATATGAACATCAATGTATGGAAACCTAATTTACGAAGATTTATAAAAACATAATAAAAAGAAAAAAGAAACAAGGAAGACTAATTAACTGACACCAAATACAGACAAGATGGCAATAATAGGGATGTTAAATGCAGACAAAATATCAACAATGTGGATAATTCATTGGTCTAAGTAAGTGAATATGTGGGCTAATATCTTTCACATGTGCTCCTCCAATATTCTGACAAGTTAGGGCTTATGGGAGTTGAAATCCAAAATATATGGAGGGCACTCAGGTTGCCAATTTTACTACTATCGGCACTCTCAGAATATTGTCTGAGACTATCCTTCTGTCATACCTGGCTCAAAGTATCTTTTATAGTTTAGACTGAGCCAATAAGTATGAATTTATGGGACACAAGTAATCTTGCAATCCTTTGGCGATCTCTAATTTGGATTGCTGCAATGTGTTTTATATATATGTGTGGCTACTATAAATTTAATCTTTTGGAAGCTTCATATTGTTAATTAGTATGATCACATTATGACTGTTTTATTACAACCATTGACTAATAATTTTTACTGCAACTTTAGAAATTCTAAGCTACTTACACAATTCATAAATCTAGTTGCCACAATGTAGGATTTTGACATAGATTTTATATTTGTACAAATTCATGATGATTTATAAATGTGAGGTTTTATTCAAGGCATGGCTATAAATTTCAATTCTTCAGACACTCAATTCCTCATTCAAAAAGTTTCCTATAATAGTCACTTCACAAACCCAACATGGCTAAGTAATTTCTTCACTGCTAGCAAGACAGAAGACATGTATATGGGGGAAAATCAACCTACTACAATTTTGGTATACTGCAATATATCAAAATCCTGTGTTATATATAAGTCTGTTCTAAAACCGAAATACTACTTTTTACAGATAAATGGTAATTTGGATTCTTTCTTCATTCTCTGAGAAGTGGGAGATATTTGCTCAATGTTTATATAACAATTCCATCTGGCCTGATAACTGTTGGTTTTCACCTCACCAGCTTCCGCTCTTATATGGTATTTTAAAAGATTTCACATTCTGAGAAAGCAGACTTACAATTTATTAGTTGTGAGTGACATCAAATGTAACACTTCTTCTGAGAGAACCAAGAAGGGTAAAAGATTCCTCCCCCTATCAACTCATATGTATTCTCAACATTTGTTAAAAAATAGAAACCACAAACATCTGGACTAGTATATTTGGGATGAAGGAGAGGAAAGTTGTGCTTTTATTTATATAAGCTTTGTAAGTGCCATTTTAACAAAAACAGAAGACAAACAAGACAAGACATACAGTATATGTCCATTGTCCCCTGATCAAAAGCTTGCTAGAAAGGCTTGGCTACCTATACTTGAAGACAACTAAACACATCACAAACGTTTGGCCTACAGTCTTTTTATTAATGCCTTTGATTGTTTTTAGAAGGACTGGATGGGGTTTTGAGAAGAAACACATAAAGTCCTTAAGACTGCAAAACAATGAACTTAAGACTGCAAAACAATAGTACATGACTGCCCTCTGCAGGCTAGCCATGGTCCATCTACACATAGGGTTTGATTTTTTCATTACGGTAGTTCTTTTTTCAGTTTTTACATTTAAGTTAATTACAAGAAACATATGTGCATTGATCAGTTTTTTGCACAAAAATAAACATTCTACTTCTAACACCTATTTAATTACCCATACCAATGCACATATAATTTTAACAGAAACAATGCAAGTAGTACATTCCCTTTGAAATACATTTTGATATACATAACACATAAAGGCAATGTACATCACTTAAATCAACTTCCATCACTTTCAACTGAGAACAGCACTCAGTCACGTATTATCTATATAACCATGACATACTGAGGGTAGTTAGGCACATGACTCCTATCTAGGGGGCTTTAGGTTTTGAAAGGTTTTATTTTTCATCTTCAATAAGAATATGCCTTTGAAACATCAGTACATTGGAACAAATACTTTAAATCTTTGTAGAGCAATGTTTTTAGAAACAGCAGAGATACATCAATAGGCACCATGCCTGTTTTTTTCCTCTAGAAATGATGAAGGATCAAAAAACCAAACAGAAAAGTGATCTCGTTTATGGAATACCCCAAGCCAAGCAGGTTCACATGGTCTTCCATTTCTTTACCCAACTTTCTATAAATCGCCTAACCACTTAAAAAAAAGACATAAACAACAGTGAAAATTACCTACCTGTCCCTTGGAACATCTAACGCTGTGTTATAGTCAGGTGGCCCTCCAGGCAGCATATTGAATAAGAGATGATTGGTGCCTCGGTCCCAACTAAGAAGATAAAGGAAATGAAAGAAAAATCTGAGCACCATACCGAACAGGTACTTCAATTTTGGACATAAAACAAAAACCAAAGCAATTCTAAAACAAAACAGCTAACAAAAATTAAAATATCCCAGCTATCTTTATTCGTCTGATTTCTACACCAACTAATAATTAATCTGTTCACAATCTTATACAAAATATTAAGAAAGCATAAGAATCCAGGTGAACTTTTTTCTAGTGTATTAATACAGGATTATAGCTTTAATTATTAATCCTTGGGAGAAAAAGACACTCAGTAATTAAGACTGAAAAATTCATTGTTCTCCAACATCAAAACCTAACACAATATTTCTATCTTGGCTATCACATTTTCTCATAATCCTTATTCTTGAATTCCTGTTTTAGCTTTGGAAGTTACTATAAGGTTTCTGTAGGAATGTACCGGGATAATTGTGCCAAAGCCTGAGCTGTTTCCTTGATGCGCAGTGTGTTCTGGTTCAGAACATCAATGGATGGCACAAATAGACAAGCACGATTGATGTCATCTGTGTAGAAGTCACTATCAGAAATAGCAGTTAACAGTTCATTGTATTCCTTGGAAATGGTGTGACTGACTGGCATGTTGTATTCATCCACATACTTCTTTAGGGAATAAATATAGACTTTGATCTTATTTTTGGGATTGAAGCCACAGCGATAAACATCAAAACATGTGTGCATCCTGCAGCTAAGATCTCCCCGTTCCGGAATGGCACTGTCTGCAGGAATCTTGATTACAGGTACATCATGAATACTGCGCTTCTCAAGGGTCCAGTCATTTGATGACTCAATGGAGTGAGGCCAGAACTGGAACATTCCAGTGGCAATTAATCCCAGTAGCACAACAGAAAATAGAGCAATGTAGTAGATGCGATGCTTGGTCTTCATTCTTGGGATGAGGGCTGGACCCCGAGTGTTGTATTTGACTGACGCACACATAATGAAAAAAGCCACCTTCCCACAAGCTTCTGTAGAATAGAACACATATAAAGAAAAAAGGGGATAAAAAAGAGAATAATGTATTATTAAACCAGTAAAACATGTCTGCATATAAAATAAATATTACATAGATGTTTCGTTCTCCTCTCCAATTTCTGTTTTTTTAAAAAAGCACTTCTGATTTCGCTTTATATATCTGTTTTTTTGTCTCGTAGAATATCAACTATGAAAACACACAACAAAGCAAACAGGATATGCAACAGCATGGAATTTATTGAATATATCCCCAAAGCAAATATACATCCCAAATTTTTATTGTCATCTACTACTGTTTAGCTCTGGTTCCAATATCATACTGGATATATGAGGTTCTTATCTAGATTTATTATTTTTTGCTAAAGCAGACCAAAAAGATAAGCCATTTTCTACTCTAAATAGAGAAACGTAAATTACCAATAGAAGATATACTAATTTAAGATCATTTCAAGAAATACACACATATTTCGATGTGCAGTTTGATGGCAAGTTGGGCAGCATATACATTTAATAAATATTTTCCCCAAATCCTTGTAATTACCCCATAAAGTTAAAACAACACAACAGTCATATTGTGGCATCTTTAAGCTAACTTAAGCTATATCTTATGAGTTTCTGTGGTTCTCAAGCTAGAGATATATGGAGTATAGTCCTACAGTGCAACAAACTACACTATCTTTCTTGGAAAAATTGCAGAGTAATTATTTTACATATAATAATAATAATAATAATAATAATAATAATAATAATAATAATAATAATAATAATAATAATAATAATAATAATAATAAAGTTGGAAGGGACCTTGGACGTCATCGAGTCCAACCCCCTGCCCAGGCAGGAACCCTACACCATTTCAGACAAACGGCTGTCCAGTCTCCTCTCAAAAACTTCCAGTGTTGGAGCATTCACCACTTCCGGAGGCAGGTTGTTCCATTGGTTAATTGTTCTAACTGTCAGGAAGTTTCTCCTTAGTTCTAAGTTGCTTCTCTCTTTGATCGGTTTCCACCCATTGCTTCTTGTCCTGCCTTCAGGTGCTTTGGAGAATAGCTTGACTCCCTCTTCTTTGTGGCAGCCCCTGAGATATTGGAACACTGCTATCATGTCCCCCCTCATCCTTCTCTTCGTTAAACTAGACATACCCAATTCCAGCAACCGTTCCTTATATGTTTTAGCCTCCAGTCCCCTAATCATCTTTGTTGCTCTTCTCTGTACTCTTTCTAGAGTCTCAGC